CCGTGCACGGGTGAGCCCGGTCACGCGCAAGCGCCTGCTTGAACCTGCGTTAGAGATTTTGGAAACTCGCCCACCGCTGTCCTCTGCGTAGGAGAGTCACCGGCGCTGGCGCGCAGGGCTCTGTGTCAGGGAATTAAAACACAGCAGGTGTGAGCCTGCTTCGCCTCAAGTCTCCGGCGAGGCTTGTTTTAAGGAAAGCAGAACTGGATCAAAATCCAGACCCTGCACCTGGGGATGCCACACTGAGAGGTATTTGGCCCTAGCATGGTGTGGAGTTTCTCCAGAAACTCAGGATTGCACCTATCATCCCATATTAAAACATGCAAGTAGGCACTTTGCGTGACTAACAAGCACTGGGAGCACACTGTGTCAGTGGCATGAAGCTGTTAATAAGTAATCTTATCTTTTGGAGGATTTGTTAGGCGTTTTAACCCTGAGCTTCCTTTTCGTGTCTGTGACCCCCATCTCCAGTTGAAAGGGCAGGCTCGGTTGGAACGAACGCAGAGCGATGTTTTCTTCATTGCTCCTCCTGAGCTTGGAGGAATAGATTAAAAGCACAAAAATCCGTGAGATCTGGGTGAACAACTAAGAAAGCACTTGCTGGGCCTGATCCTGCACACCCTGAAGCGTGTAGTCCCCACTTTTAGAGACAAGGAGGTATTTACAAAGCACTTGCCAGCGCTGGTCCCCACAGCGGGGTTTCTGCTTGGTTGCGCTGTGCCTTAGCCCCACTGATCAAATAGCAGGTTGGCGCTTGGCGTGGGGCCGGGATGGTGCAAAGAGCCTGAATTGCTATCCCGGGGATGTCTTTGCTCTGCCTGAAAGCGAACTGAAGCCCAGAATTGCTCTCCTTCAAAAGTACCAGGCTCTCTCGTTCATAGGCACACGCACTCAGAGCCTTGGCTAAGCTGTTGTATTGACAGGGGAAAAAATGCAGCCTCAAACGCTAAGAAAGCACGGGGAAGGGTATTGCATGGAGCAGACACTGGACTCAACTGTTCAACACAAGGGTTACCCTGGGTTAAAACAAGGAAATAAGCCATCTGAAAAATAATGCTCTGACAAGTCCTGATCCCACGGTAGTGTTGGCTCAGGATAAGTTTTCTTATGAAGGACTTAAGACTGACAATGGAATTTCGTTATTGGTAATCTATCCTGTTTTGCACAATGTTTGTACAATCTGCAGAGCTCTCTCTCCTCTGCACTGCTTTTTCCTTCTTGTTTCATCCATCTTCAGATCACTGTCAAGGAAGCAGGACAAAATGGAAGCGGGACAAGACTCTTATCCTGAATATTCCCATGTTCTGATTTTTTTTTCATTATGATGAAAAATCAGTAAATAGTTTGTTTTGAGAGCAAGCAAGTGCATACATATATTTTTTGAAGCTCAGTGTTTCCATAGCTCAGAGAGCAGGCTCTTGGAGTACTAGGGGCAAAAGCTTAATGGGGATTTTTTTTTATTATTTCTTTATAAAGACTTACGTGTCCTTTTATGTCATCCTAATAGACTCTCTTATAATACTCCTATCTCTCTTCTTATAATGCCTTTATTGTCCTTATCTTACCCGCTAACAGATGTTAACCAGCGTATTTAAGTTTTTAGAAATCTTGCCTCATGAATAAAATGATTCATTTTTTGAGCGCTGTGTCATGCAGTAGGTAAATGATTGTCTAAGATGGGATGAAACAGCAGCCTTCTCCAGTATAAACCAGTGTGGGCTTATTGTACAGAACGGAAGTGAAATCCGATGTGCAACAACTTTTGTATGTTTCTTCCAAACTCTGCAACAGGGTTTCTAACAGCTTATGTGGCAACCTTTACTGCAAAACTTCTTTCCAGCCTGAGAAAGGAGTCTAGCTCAGTTAAATATCCATACTTACTTTTTAGAGGACTTTATTAGAACTAGAATTTTGTTAAGAATTTAGGGAAAAAAAATGGAAAATGTAAATGATATTTTAAGATGAAAGTTAACTTTCTTGACTTGGCTAAACTTTCTGAAAATATGTTTAATTTTAACTCTTCAGAGTAAATGTTTCTTTTCTGTGACAATTCTACAATTCTGCTTTCTGATTTTTTTTTCTGTTCTTGAGTGAAAAAGTGTCTTTAGGTTTGAGGATCTTGTCTAACTTCTCATGGAACATCATGGCTGGGTGGATGAGTGGATGAGATCAAGTACATCAAGAACTAACAAAGGCAGAGATGCAGACTCTGTGCCTCTTGCTCAGTTTTTTAATTTTCCTTTAGACACTGTCTGCCTGGATATTGTTGGAGGCAGAGCCCAGCAGCCACGTGGCTTCTGACCTGGGCTGTTGCAGCCCTACCTGTAATGGAAAGCTCAACCCCTGGTTTAGCATTGTTCCATCTGAGCTGGAAAGACCACATATTTAAGCAGATGAGAACTTGAACTTTTGTTCTGTCCTTTGTAACAGTGAATGTGTGAATGGTACCTGCCAAAACCGTTTGTATGCCTCTGTGTTACATTTTATGAGAGCTGTGGTATTAAGGGTGTGCTTAAATACATAGGCTTGCTCTTTAGCAACAGTCATAGTTAACCATGAACATAATACCTTGTGTAATACAGAGAAAAACTTTTATTCGCAGTGATAACAAGATTAAAAAGGTTTACGCTAGGTAGGTGGCTATTCTGAAACCATCCATGTCATAGTATGATCATAGTGAGATTCAAGGCAAAAAATGCAATTTTTAGAGCCTGCAAAAATAATTTTTATTTATTTTAACTGATTTTATATTTTACAGTCCCTTTTCTTGTATTTTTTTTCTTTTTGATACCTAGGAAAAAGAATTAATTGCTTATTATAATAATATTTGTGGCATATGTGACCATGCTGCTCAAAAAAATATGCAAATGTGGTACACAAACATATCTATGTATCTGCATTATTTATCTGTGCACAGGAATTCCTTGCAACTACTGCTAAGTTAGAACTGAACATATTGCTCTACATTTTTTTTCCCTAGCACTATTTAAATTAAAACTACATGTAGCCATCTGAAGGATGAAGCTTTGGCAGCAGCTGCCAAGGAGGTTCTTCTTCGAGCACCATGCCCAGGTCTCATCTCTCTCATGTAACTGGGTGCCCCAGTTAGCACCTTGCTGGGGGAGGCAGGAGACCTGGATTTCTTCCTTGGTTCCAGCACTGGTTCCCTCTGCAACCAAGGGCAAATCACCGAACCGCTGAGCAACATCCTGGCCCTCTAGGAGAGCCCAAGGCTCTCCTTAAAAATATTAGTGCAACACACATGCACGTGGCCCTGGTGGGGCTGGATTAGGGGAGACGCAGTGGGGAAGGAACTGGGACTGCTGAGGCACCTTCGGTAGCACTGCGTGCTCCTGAGGCACCCAAAGTTCATGTATCCTCCTGCCTCTGCCGGAATGGAAAAACAAAAGTCTTGTGTGGATTTCTGTTTAAAAATAGTAATAGAAGGCACTCTTTGGTGGGGAATGTGTCCTCCTGTCCCGAGTCAAGAGCGGCCCAGACACTGCCACCCTTGCTGCCTTGCGTCTGGGAGTGCCTGGCTCTTCACGGTGGACCCTGCTCCCCCAAAACGCTTGAGGTTAGTGGTGGGGGGAGAAACGTGTTTTCTGCTGCTCTTGACATTTTCTTATTACCTCTATAATGTCTGATCCTCCTCTGGATTGCGCAGAGCCTCTCGGTGAGCAATTTGGGGAGCTACATTTACAACAAAACCCCAAAGCTTAGCAGGTGTCGTTAGCACTCCTGCTGGGACATATGCTGCTCTTCATCCTTAGCACAGGAAAATCACAATCCCCCGGCTGGTATTAAATGTGTGATATTTGCGTTTCTAATGCTGCTGGTTGGGCCTGCCCTGGGTCCGCCGCTCAGGCCTCCGCTTCGCCCCGTGGTGGCCCTGGCTGCAGGCCACCCGGCAGCTCGATCGCTGCCCGACATGCACGGCCTCAAGGCTGGAAGTCTGCTAGACCTTGTAGCTTTGCCCTAGAATAACAAAGAAAGCTTAGTTCCTTCAAATTGGTATTTTAAAGCTTTTCATTTCTCACTTTCCTCCCTGCCGCCTGCTCAGCAAGGCCTGCGTGGAGAAGTGGGGCCAAATTCGGGTGCTTGAGGCACTGAGGCACTTGCTGGCCTCCAGCAGCGACCCAGGCCCTCGGCCCCCAAAGAGGATAATAGGAAACTCAGGGCCAACAGGTCGGACTCTGCCTGAACCTGCAGCCCTTGCAAAATCCACAGGCACCAGCTTTGCTTGCCAGACTGTGAATTTTAATTTTGTAAAGAATAGAATAAAAATCGACCACTTGGGTTGCTGACATCCCTTCCTGGCCACACAGCAATTGCTAGAGGAATCAGCAGGGAGCCTCAGAGTGAAGCCTGCAGGGTGCAGCCTGACAAGGGCTCTCTCGTGCTGCTTGTGCGTTGCCAGAGACAAGCACTTGAAGCTTCCTAGAGACTTTGCTATTAAAAATCAGCCAGAGTGCAAAGGTTTGAGTGATTTCATAGCCTAATTACCCAAGAGCATCTGAACTCGCTAATTTAACAAATTGCTTTTCAAAGTGGTAAATCAGCTGGGAAACACTGCAAAACAAAAGGATTTTTGTCAAGAAAGTGAACCGAAAACAGGGGAAATAGAAGTGTTACAATAGAAGGTAGAATCCAGCTTTAACTATAGGCAGGGGCCTGCTGTATGTGCAGTTTGCAAAGTTTACAATTGCACGTTACGATTTACATAACATTGCGAACATTTGCATTGCCAGTATCAAAGGAAAGTGATGACAGAGTGAAAGTACTGGTTGACGTGCGAACATACGTGTGTATGCGTGCGGTTTTGTCTAAAGTAAACTTCTTTATATATGTCCTGAAAAAGGAAGGCCTGAGCTATTGATAGTCAGTGTAGTGAGTACTTGCCATGATGCCCTTGGGGTGACTGATCAGCCTCCTGCCAGTTACCCGAAGAGGAACTTCTCCGGAGGATGCTGTGGGTGCTGTTTGGGCTGATCCCCTCCATGCCACCGCTGGGGTATCGGGAAGGTGAAGAACCAGCGTGGTGGGTGCCCAGGTCTCACGCAGGAGGGGTAGCAGCAAGGTGCTTCCAGGCCCTGCCCCAGGGGACATGGCTGTTGGGACCTGGCTCTGCTCGCCTGAATTCCTTAGCACTGACCAAACCTGGAAAGAAGTCAGGTGTAACTATAGTCACATTAGTCTGATATTGCTGAAATTGGGTAAAATGAGTACTTTTTTTTTTCTTTTGCTCTTGACTACTGCTGAAAAAGCATCCATAGATTTACATTGGAAATTATTCTCTCAACTGTTTTCTTAGTTGCAAAAGCTTTTGTTTGTGAGTATTCGCCAATTCCAGCTGCTGAGACGCTAAGTCCCTTGAACAGTCTCATGAGAGCAGATGACAGGAGTGAATCCTTTCTGCAGCTTGGCTGTCAAACTCGGGACTTTTTCCTTTCAGAAAACATAATTTTCAGTATATTCATATGCTCCTCCCAGCACTGAAGAAAGCAAGAACAGATGCAGAGCAGATTGTGGTATGATACCATATGTGCTTATGTATACATGTATGTGTATACATATATTTTTCCACACGCACACACACAAATTTTCATATCTCTATATAATTTAATTTTTTTAAGATAATCTACAAAGTCTACTGTGAACTATACTTACATGAGAAAAACAGATCAGAAACATATTCCATCTAAAAATAGTCTAAATTAAACATAAGGGGCAGAAGAAATGTGGAAATTGTATACATTCTCAAAACTGATTAGTGAATCATTACAAAAATACATTTCACTGTGGGATGAACTACAGTAAAGCAGTGCTTCAGTTTTACTTGATTAATGCTTACACTGTTTAGGAAGGTCTGAAGAGATCGAATTTCCATGAAACCTACAGCTCTGAGGCTTGTAAACTTGGTTTGCTACGGTGTTTGGATAGGAAGCCAGATACATTTCTTTGACAAGAAGTAAGGGAAGTGGAAGGGAATGTGCCTCTCCCTAGTAAAATTCCCCCACCCTAATACTCAAAAAAAAAGAGCTATGGGGTTGTAGAATGAATAAATGAAACACTGCACTTTTCTAACCAACTTAATTTATGAACATGTGTAATTTTCCTGGCATTTTTTTTTTTTTTTTTTTTTTGCGGGGGGATGGGTGGTTTCCTCTGGTCATTTTTCTCTCTCTCAAAATTTATATTAGATTTGTAACTAGTTACCCAGCACACTTATCTGTTACAGCGACGAATGAATGATCAAGTGAATGAATGAGCAATGATACTGTTTCAACCACCTGTTTCACCTAAGAAGCGGTGTGTGGGTTAAGGTCCCCCCTCTTTCTCCTCAGGACGCACCGATGAGTCAGCCGTGCTCAGCACAAGAGGAATCTGACCAACTGCTTTTTGTTGTGTTTTGTTTCTTTCTCCAAGCAGCTGGCATGACCTCCAAGAGGTGACTCATGGCCCGTACGACAGAAAGGCTGGGAGCGGCGCTGGGATCGGTGCAGGAGCCCTGCTGGGCACGAAGAAGGTGAAGATGAGAGGAACTTAGAGGTCTTGTTTGGTCTGGCAATCAGCCAGGGCTTGCTGGCTCTGGCATCGACTGCTTCTCAAATGCACAAAGAAAAAAGGTATTTCAGACTGTTACTGTTACTCTCTCCCATCTGGCCGGGACATGTATCAGCTGTTTCTCCCCTGTTTCTGCTCGTGAGGATGCCAGGGGGTCAGTGTCGTGTTTTGTAACACGCTGAGGAGGCTGCAGCATTGGCCAGGGCAAGCTGGCATTGATGGGTCCTCGCGTGGGTTTTCAAGGGTATGGGTCTATGTGTGGGCAAGTGCCCTGGCCTCCCCCACACATACAGGTTCACTCACAGCTGACCTGGGCCTTTAAGTGCCTGGGCAATAGCAGGGAGTTTGCTATACAACACTGAAAGAAACAATTATTATTATTATTTTTTAATGTAGCATTCCTTCTTTTCTCTTTCAGATGGATTTCAAGAAAATTAATATTTTTATTTGCCTCATAGGGCTCAGCTCTTTTAGCTTATGGATTTTGTATACCCGTTTGACTGAATTTTGTATATTTTGTGAAAAAAGGCAAAATGCCACATTCCCCCCATGGACTCTGAGAAGAAGCGATGAAAGCTTCTTGCTGCTCCCAGAGGCAGACTGCCATAAAAACCCCCCTTTCCTCGTCCTGCTTGTGACATCCTCCGTCCCCCGTGCTGACGCCAGGATGGCCATCCGGCAAACCTGGGGCAAGGAGAGGACCGTGGCGGGCAGGCGCATTGTAGCGTATTTCCTCCTGGGAACCACAGCGAATCCCAGACAGCAGGCTGGAGTTGTGGCTGAAAGCCAGGAATACAAGGATGTCATTCAAAAGAATTTTACAGACACGTATTACAATTTGACTTTGAAGACCATGATGGGGATTGAATGGGTTCACAAATACTGTCCTCAGTCGAGCTTTGTGATGAAGACTGACAGCGACGTGTTTGTCAATGTGTTTTACCTCACTGAGCTGCTTGTAAGGAAAAACAAGAACAGTAGCTTCTTCACAGGCTTTTTAAAAGCGCACGAGTACCCTATAAGGAAACCAGGGAGTAAGTGGTATGTGAGTAACGAGGAGTATCCAGGAGACACCTATCCGCCATTTTGTTCAGGGACTGGCTACGTTTTATCCACCGACGTTGCTAGTAAGATCTATGAAATCTCAGGCAGCGTCCGGTTTATTAAACTGGAGGATGTATTTGTAGGACTGTGCCTTGACAAACTAAAAATCCAGCTGGAGGAGCTTCATTCAGAGCAGACTTTTTTCCCAGCACGGATTCAGTTTTCTGTTTCTCGCTTCAAGAAAATCGTGATGTGCCATGAAGTAAAGCCATCCGAGCAGCTGAGCTACTGGAATAGCTTAGTGGCATAAAGAAGCCATGGAGTGTGCTAGCACTTTACTTGCTTGAATTTACAAGTTGACATGCTCAGAACTGAGGGCTGCTCTTTACTTCAGCAGAACTCTCAACTCTAGACCCATTATGTTAAAGGCATTTTTAGCGATTATTTTAATCTCCACTTCTGCCTAAGAACATGCAAGTGTCTTTCTCAACCAGTCACTCCTGCCTCCTTGCATCCCTTTCTACCTAACTTACAAACTTTGTTTTGTTTTGTTTTTTCCGGAAGAAGAAAGGGCCCACAAGAGTGGCCCTCATCACGGACCAGTTCTCCAAATCTTCCCACTCCAGGACTGAGGTTATTTTTGCAGTGCCAAACTAAAAGTCAAGGTACTTCCATTCAGAGGAAAAATTTGTACCCTCTTCCCTGTTCCCCTCGAGGGGTTGCTCTGTTCGCAAGCACTCTTGCAGGCATTTAAGAAAAGGTATTTGCAGTTCTCAGGACTTTTCCTTGCTCTCGTGGAAAACAGTAGCACGGCCCTGGCGGGGTGCTCTGGGTGGGCAGGACAGTGCTGAGGCAGAGGTTTCTCCCCCAGTCCGCCAGACACATTTGCACAGGCAGAAGAATTTGCCCATGCAGCACCCCTGGGACCACCATGGGTGGCCTCAAGTGTCACAGGCCGCCTCATGACTGGGTAAGGCTGCTGTGACTGTGTCCCGGGGCTCATCCTCTGCTGCACGCGATACACGGTGGAGCCGGGTCCAAGCTCGGTTTGGGAGCGTGCTGTTCCTTTCTGTTGCCTTAGGTTACACCCCAGAGACACCCTGCGCTTCTGTGGTTCACGCTGAATGCTTGAAAGCTGCTCCAAATGGTTTATCAAAGCTAAACTAGAGTCACTTACAGTAAGCTAGGCAGCGCTCTGGTTTAGATGTTTTCTTATCAGGAACTGGGTGCACCCAGGGGAGAAGACAGGAGGATTTTCCTATTATAATGAAGACTAGGAGCCTCATTTCTTGTTTCATTAGCAACCAAAGACTCATGAAATCAGTGAGATGTTTGCAGGTTCAAGGGACTCAAGTCTTTACAGTAAATACTGTGGAAAGTACATCTGGTATATGAGGAGGGGGGAGGAAGTTTATACAATCATGGCTGACATAGTAATATCCAATACTTCTTTTAAATGTTATTTTTCTTTTGATTTACTTTTCAGGCAAATGAAAAGTAGCAAATAAGTATTGGATGCCTATACTACGCATGAATTTGAAATCTTATATAGAATTTTATTTGATGGGTTGTCCTGCCTCTAGTAAAACCCAGGAGATGTATATGGCTCTCACACATCCTGCCAGTCAAATATATATTCTATATACATTGGATACAGTAAAAAAAGGTGGAGGTAACATATGAAAAGGTAAAGCATGCTGCTCAGGGACCTCTGCTTAGCACTGTAGGGATAAGCACTGCTTCAGCCCACGTGTGCTCTCGTTGGCCGTGCCTGCAGAGCCGTGCATGTGGGCCGCACAACCCAGGAGGGGATGCACAGGTCCTGGCCACCTCTCACCTCCCTGATGCCTGCAGAGCTGGGAGGTGAGCAGGATAGTACGGTTAAAGGTGGATAACTAACTGAGATACTTAGGGTGGCTCAAAAAGTTCAGGACAGTCAATATTTCCCTAGTCTTTTTTGGGAGGTTGCATAGAATGATCCTGCACAGAAGAGCAGAAAGTGATGTAGATAATTGCAGTCCTTGGAGGTTTTCAATGACTTATTTTCTGATACAGGATAAAGTATTTTATTGTTTTGTGTTTATTTATTTTTACTCCTTCTTTTTATTGAACTTAATAAGTACTGACCAAACGGGTCATCCCTTTTTGCTTGCATGTGTCTGAAGAGCAGGACAAATGATTTCTGCAGAAATATGCCCCACCTTAGGAAGCGTTTCATAACACTAAAAAAATGCTGTATATTTCCTTCTGATGCAGAGCAACCTGAGCTCATGCACATGTTTTTGACAGCTGATGACGAAATAAAACATCTTTGTTTGGCAGAAGAACATTCTGCTTTCTTTTGAGTTCCCTGCTGAGGAAATTTGCCATTCACTGTTGTCGCAGCCTAAGTAAGTACAAGCTGAAAATTGCTTAAATTTATAGCAAAATAGTGAACAGTAAGGAGACGCTTTCCGGCCTCTCCTAGCATCCCCCTTGCACTGCTCAGTGATCTGGGGCACCAGAGAGTACCTAAGGGCCTAATACTCATGCTGGCCCTCTTTGTACTGAGATACCCCCGCACCCTCCGTGGTGTCTCCTCCCTCTGCACGCCGTAGCGGATGCTGCACTTCCAGCTCTGCACCCGGCATTGTGCCTGCTGGCCACACCAGTTCAAAAGGGCCGTAGCGCAAAGTCTACATCCTGGCA